TGACCATCACCGTGGCCATGATCATCACCGTGACCGTCACCAGGCCCCCTACCCGTCTTCTCATTGCCCAGGACAGCATAGGTGAAGATCTCGCCCACCCAGTCCTGGAGCTCGTAGTCCTCGGCCACGTCACTGTCCTCGGGGTAGTAGAGAGCCACGATCCCCTCCACTAGGCTGGGCCACCACAGGGACATTGGTGAGACGTGGGGACAGGGCTGTGCCCACTGTCCTGGCGTCACCTCCAGCAGCTCCCAACCCTGTGGTCCCTGTCCCCAGCCCTGTTGCCTCCATCCTCATCATCCCCATTCCCCATGTCCTCATCCTTGTTGCTCCCATCACTGATGTCCCCAACCCCGTGTCCCCATTCCCACCATCTCCATCCCCATGTCCCCATGCCTGTTGTCTCCATCCCCATGTCCCCACCTCCAGCGTACAATCCTCGTGGTCTGATCCCCATGTCCCCATCCCCATGTCCCATCCCTGTGGTCCCATCCCTGTTGTCCCCATCTTCATCATTCCCATCTCCATGTCCCCATCTCCCTTGTCCCCATCCCCATGTCCCACCCCCATGGCCCCATCCCTGTTGTCCCCATGCCCATGTCCCCCCACACCTCTCGATGGCTCCCCAGATCTCCAGGGCGTCATCGCGGTAGTGGTAGTTGGGGATGTTGGTGACGCCGCGGTGCTCCAGGTCATCGGGGACACACAGCTCCCTGTAGGTCAGCGCCGCCGTCCCCCGGGCCACCAGCTCCAGCGTCCCTTCCCGCCCCACGGCCGTGGCCTGGGCATGCCACCATCCCTCAGTGTCCTCCATCGCGTGTGTCCCCCCCCAATTCCTCCCATCCCTGGGGGACCCAGCTGTCTGGGTGCTACCAGGGGGGGACACCCAGGTGTCCAGGTGCCACCAAGGGGGGGACCCAGGTGTCCGCCTGACCTGGTCAATGAATGCCCCAGGGCTGAGCAGGGCCTCCCGGGCCAAAATATTGATGTGGAAGGTGAAGCGGCAGTGAGGCAGCAGGAGCTGGGGACATTGGGACAAGGGGGGGACATGGGACATGGGGGACATGAAGGAC